TTTGCGATTATACCTATTATCAGCTGTCAGTTGGTAAGTAAAGGTATGGTATATTTTAATGTATGGCTGCAAATACCAGGATATCATTATTTAATCTAGAAATATTATATATTATTTTTGTCTACATTTTTCAACCTGCGGATTGAAAAGTCTAGTTTCGTCTAGGCTATTTTCATCCTACTTAAATATTATAGAAGCGACACTTTATGAGGGTGTGTGTGTGTGGGTGTTTGTTACTGTTTCACGTCAAAACAGCTGAAGGGATCGATATAAAATTGGGAACAGGGGTAGATTATGGTTTATAATAACACATAGGCTACTTTTACCCTTTAGGGAACTTGCTTACTCTTGAAACCAATCTCAATGTCCATGCTATTTCAATTAATTATAAATAATTGTTAATAAATAAATACTAGTCGTTGCATGTCATGTTGTGTGCACATACTTGTGGAAGCATGGTCTGCCATTTACAGTTTTGTATTGTTGCTCTGTTGTGTATTGTGCTGTGTTTCTGTTTTGTGTACCTAATAAATAAATAAATAAATAAATAAATAAATAAATTCAATAAAATCTCAATGATTATACATTGTCAAACTATACAACCCTTATCGTATCTGTTAAAGTAGCAACCAGAGTACGGAATATAAAACCAAACTCAATAACGTTTAGTTCATTCAATATCCACGCAATACGAATGCAATAGGCGCTAGTGTTGCAACTTAAGAGTACGAAATTTCACAATGTCAATGTCGATCGATCGGAATTGGATTCAAGAGTAAGCCCCTCGGCGAGGTGATCGTGCTTGGCGGGCTTTCTGCCCAACAGTTGTTCGTTGGGATTTCCTACCCATATTAATTCGCATGTAAACTTCACCATGTGCGGTGTAGGATTTGTTTTCATTGATATTTGACGGGTGACATGTGTCGCCACAACCCCACGGGAAAGTGACCAAAGCCGATGGCAAAAGCAAGTACTTGATATGATTCTTAGTTTTGATTATGGTTTATTGATTTATGGACATACCTAGGTAGGTTCATAATATCTACCAACTGTTTAACACAATTCATTTCCGAAAAGACGTTTACCTATCGATTATAAGAGAAAACTTTTCAATAAAATCACATTTAACATAGATAATAAAAAAGCAAAATAAAAAAAAACTATTTTAAATTCTAAATCTACTTTTAAATTAAAACTTCACTCAAGTAGAAATCTTATAAATACATTTTTCATAGTGGTAAAGTGCTGATGTAGAAAATAAAATAAGATTTATGAACTGAAGCTTTCATGCTAGAAGTAACTGTAAGATAATTTGATATCTGTTTAAATGGGAATGCCAAATGCAAATGAATGCATTCAATTATCTGCTGAAGTAGGTAGAATAAATAATTGGCAACGTCATGGAAAAATATTACGTGGAAACTTCATTCACTTAATGGTTGAGCAAATTGAAATATTAAAGATTGAATCTTAAGTTAAGTAAAATCTTCTAAAATTTTATAAATAACATCGTAAAAAGTTGAAAGTATAAATGTATGTAAGTGATGTATATCAAGTTATTGTACCATTCTATTTACTTTTTATTCACCTGTAGATACTATTAATTGGTCAGCTCCAGACTGTATTATTGTCCTTAAGGTTATTTTCTTTTTTGATCACTTTGACTGGATTTTAGTGTTACATTGTTCTCGCACAATCCAAACAGCAAAACTATGTAACTAGTAAATTGTATTGTGAACCTGATTGAAAAAGAGTAACCTATGGAGTTTCTTGCTCGTTCTTCTCCATAGGAATCTACGCCTTGGAATGAGCAAATAGCTTCACTTTCAATTTTTGTTGACGTTCATAAGTGCCATTCTCGCCTAATTGAAATAAATGATTTTGACTTTGACTTTGAATTACCTATACTATACTCCTATATTCCTATACTATACTATTAATTTCCTATATACTATTAATATACTAAATTACATATGGTAAATTATTTTATAACAAATAAAATATTATTTTGTCACGGGAATACAGAGTTCAATATACTACTAAACGACTACTAATATAGTACTAAACTACCTATAAATTTAAAAGTTTTTTTTTGCAATAATACTATAAAAGCGAAAGTGGATTTGTTTGTTTGTATGTTACGCTTTCATACATAAACGCGCAACTAATTTCAATTAACTTTGGCAAAAACATATTGGATAATTTAATGACCATAACTAATGGACAATGAAAGAAATATCTAAAAGAACCTTCCTTTCTTTCACTTTAAGAGAGGGATAAATAAACCTTTCTAAGTACATATACCTTTAGGAATGAATGAATGAATGAATGAATGAATGAACGAAGTTTTTTTAGTGTTGTGCTCTACGGCTTTTTGCGAATAAACCTTCTATCAGCTGTCAGTTTGTAGTAGAGTTGTGGTACATTTTTATGTACGGCTGTAAATATTATTTAACCTAAATTAACTAAAAGGGTGTTACTCACGTGAATATACTGAGAAAAGCTCTACTAGTTTCGAACCACAGAGGGGTTCTTACTGCTCATGAAACTAGTAGAGCTTTTCTTAGTATATTCACGTGATTAACTTGTGATTCTAGTTAATTTAGTAAAAAACTTTAGACACGTATATTTTCTTTTCTCACAAAATTAAATACTTTTGACGTTATATTCATTTGAAATATCGTGTGACGTCACAGCGTGCCACAGTTTTAACACGTTTTGACGTAACGATCTCCCATTCCTAAACTTAGCGCCATTTTATTTAAGTATTGCAACTTAAAACGAAAAAATTACGTGTCATATATTTTTCATTATCTAACTGACAGACTAATTCGATTTTTAATACCCTAGAAACTACCTAATTGAGTAGCGTTTGTGTATTTCGACATAAATGGTACATGATGGAACAAGTATTAATGCTGTATGATTGTATGGAGTATACCCTTAGGTAAGAATAAAAAAGTTCGAGTAAACATGCAACCGTATAATGACCTCTAAAGTAGGTACTAGTCAACAAGGTGAATAGTCAATACAATTGGCTACTTTCCTTAATCAAAATAAAATGTATCAACTGTTCAATACAATAAAATATTTAAAAAGTAATTACACTTTCATTCATTGATTTTATGATCAATTTAATTTTTGTATAATTATCTAGCATTTCTTTAAAAATGAGTATGCTGTTCGACGCTAAAAAAACGTGACGTCACAATACACAATCTCATATAACATTACAACTGTCGTTTTCGACAGTTCAAAAAAAGGATTGAATTTGACTAGTTGACAAGTACCCTATTGAGACGCCAATAAACTTGGACAACTGGAAAATATTTTATTCTATAAATGAATAGAGACATCTAGATATAACTAAACAAGAAGATAGATAGCGCCCTAGAATATCACACAGGCTTCTTTTTATCCTGAGAAAAGTACGATTCCCATGGGAACGAGTTTCTATACAAGCTAAATAAGCTGCAGCTAGTCCTACTGATATTATAAATGCGAAACTTTATGAAGATGTACGGATGAAATGAATTGAAAGATAGCTGTACAAGTTTGTTAATCTTTCACTCAAAAAAATACTGTCCGGATTATGACAATTTTGATATAGAGATGGACTAGAATATTGTGTGGAATAATAGAATAGGGTATATGCCTAATTTTCATTTTAATGTCCGTCTGGTAGATTATTTTAAATCATTAGACACGTATTTTTTATTTTCTTACAATAACGAATACTTTCGACGATATATTGATTTGAAATGTCGCGTGAGGTCACTTCTAAAAACATTTTATACGCAGAAATGACGTTTTAGCCCCTACTCTACCTAAACTTTGATTCGTTTTATCTAAGTATTCTTCTATTATACGACAAAATAAAAAAATATGTGTCTAATATTTTTTCATTACCTAACTTACGGACTATTAGATTTTTAAATTTCATACCTTGTCATCATCTCAATTATGGAGATATTTTTACCCTAGGATCGCGGACAAAGCACATGGCAAAAGTTAGTTATTTATAAACCCTTTGGAATTAAACTGTCAAACACCAAGCGGTCACCGGTGACCGCAACCTATTGTTCTATAATTGTGTCTACAAAACCGGTACTCGACGAGTTAATATGTATTACAATGATGTACCTACGTATAAATCCAACGTCTTTGACTAAAGGTCGTCACTTTTATGTACCTAAGTCAACCCTAATAATTCCATTTAGTGCCGGCACAATAAAATCTAAATAAAGGAGCGATAAACTTCGGCTTAATGTACCCCAGGAGTCGGCTGAAGGGTTTTACTCACTATTAGCTTGGTTTACTACCTACAATGCATGGGTACAAAATGTTCCCGTGCGCGACGAATGGGTTAAGGGCGTGTGTCTTTTGTTTTTGGAGTTTATTTTAGAAGAAGACTGTTTTTATGGACGGTAAAAAATTAATAGGAAAAGCGATAGATATTTCAGAATCAATTTTGTTTTGTTTTATAATACTTAAAGTAAAGTACTTCTTTCAAAACTAATTATGAACTCACAAAAATAAATGGAGGTCTGCAAAGCAAACTTAATTTTTTTAATAATTTAAAGGAATTTTTTTATTCGATAACAAACGATTATTGTTTAATGTTTACGTTGTCTTTGTTTTTCAGGTGAAAATCATTAAATGAGTTTCACACTATCTCTTTGTTTAAGTTTAACTTTTTCTACGATGTTTAGGTATATCGTTAGCTCATAAATAAATCGCATATTTGATACCTCTTGCTAATACAAACTAAGTTCACTGAAGAAATATAGGTACTTTAGACATAATTAGTAGCATGACCAAATGAAAATTTATAAAAAAAGCATTATTTCCAAAAAAGCTCATAAAACACTTCACATAGCTAACAAAACAATTAAAATCAATTATAAATCGAGAGATTTACGAAACTTAAATTATTTATTTTAAAAAAGGTCCATAAATAATAATAAAAAAAATTGATAAGTTGCAGCTTTTCGACTCACCGTTCTCCGTGGTACTCCGTGCACTAATAGCGACGCGGCGCCGGCGCAACTATGCGGTGCGCGCGCAGAGCAATGACTTCGACGCTCGCACTTGACCTTGTGGGGAGCAAGTACGCGAAACATCAACCCGTACTCGTTTTATACTAGCTTTCTGCAGTTACACACGGATGGGTGCTTTGGAAAGCCTTTGAAAGCTTATTTCAATGTACAGTCAACAGCAAAAGTTGTTGCAAGATTTTGGCAGCTGTTGGCTGTTATTCCTAAGACCATAAGAACCAACAGCTGCCAAAATTGTGCAGAAACTTTTGCTGTTGACTGTACGAGCTTTTTGGAGAAGAAAGTTGACAGAGAACGCAATGGGAGGCTGGTCGTGGTATCATTCCAGTTTTCCCAGCCCATTCATGCTTAATCATGATTTGTATGGTTCTCCGACATGACCTAAGCATGGTCCTCCTACGGTTCTCCAATCTTATGATCACTTCATGTCCTATGGACATCTGGAACACCATAGGTGTTACATGTGCGTTACCGGGCTTTTGGGGATTAGAATTATGAGTCCTGTCCTGAAGTTATAACCATTGCTAATGACTAATAACAAGAGCCAAAAATAAATTATCTAAGTATTCAAAAGCTTGATTTTTCAGATCAACTCAAAATGTCAATCAGAACGCTAACTTGCAAACAACACTCAACCCTAAAATGATTAAGATAGGGTTCACAAACAAAATCAAAATACATAATTTTCACAAATTGCAATGAGTTCGGCTGTGCAACTAATCTATCAGTGTGTATAAAACACAACTTAACCACCCCACTGAACTTAGACCTCCATAGCTTACCGAATAGAACTAACAGAGGTGTCTAGATAAACTAGTTACATTTTTATAGTACCAACTATGGGATGAGACGAATGTTATAAATGCTGGATATCAAGTATATAGGGAGGTCTATATATGTGCAGATTGCTAATTAAGTATTTTTAATTAATAGCAATTATGTTAATATAGAGAGGAAGTTGTAAGTACAGCTTTATTAATATGAGCCTTCGTTTTGATTTATTTTTCTATTAGATTGAGTGATGGACAGTTCGGTCTTCACTATCTAAAACTAGACACAGATCTTTTCCTTTTCAGGGCTGGTGGTGACAGCAGAGCAATGCATTGGTCATCCCTACTCTCGCAAGAGTCCTAGGAGCGACGCTAACTAACGTCCGAATACTGAAAGGATCATCATCATCATCATCATCATCATCATCATCATCATCATCAACAGTCTATAAATGCCCACTGCTGAGCAAAGCCTCTTCTCACACGGAGAAGGTTAGAGAATTAATCACCACGCTTGCTCAATGCGGGTTGATGATTACAAACTGATTATTAGAAATTATAAGCCCAGGTTTCCTCACGAAGTTTTCCTTTACCGTTTTTCAGCAGTGTATAAATAATCTTAGAAAGTAGGTACATATAATTCAGAAAAAGTCACATTGGTACTTGCCGTTGAAAGGTTTCGAACCTGTACCCTCATGCATGAGAAGCGGACGTCTTATACCTCCAAGCCACCACGACATTCGCCTGAAACTGAAAGGATACTCAATTTTAAATTGTACTTCAATATTCTGCCATCTCTGTCATTTTACAAAGAATTTGTAGAACTATACATAAGCGGGATTTAAAATTGAGTACGTTTGGAGTATTCGGGTCTAAGGGTGGCATCATCATAGAGTTCTTTAACATACCTGTGAATCCTTTAAGATCTGCGACCTCTTGTAGCCCCATGGGCTCAATAATGCTATAATCTCCACGACTACAATTTTGACAAAAGCCGGCTAGCATTATCAGGGAGTTCTCTAAAATACCTTAGAATCTTTTAAAATCTGCGACCTCAAGTACCTCTACATGGGTTGAACGCTGCTATAATCTACACGCTTGGTAGGTGCTGGGGCAATGGGCTAACGTTTATTTTTGCTCTTTAGGTGGCTAAAAAATGATTCCGATTTATCGGAGAGAATAAGAAACTCCATACTGCGCTCCAAAACTCAAACCGCTAGCTTATAGTGGAACTGGGTTGGTCACGTCTGCCACATGTGAGACGAGCGGTGGGCGAAACTAACTACTGAGTGGAGCCCACTCAACGTCAGTAGACGTCGCCGTAGGTCCAGAAGGAGATGGTGGGATGAACTTGACGCTTATGACAAGCATTGGCTATAGAAAGCTTTAAGAAGAGGCGAGTGGATGGAGGGCAGGGAGGCCTTTGCCCTGCAGTGAGACGACCATAGCAAAAATTTAAATAAAGATAGCATAAAATGAAGGAAGGGGTATTTTTGTACAATCACTGTACTTAACTGTCAAATATTAAATGTCAAATGGTGTGACACTACCTAATTCCCTATTGGACGAAGATCGAGAGGCTCACACTAACGCAGCACAAAAATACGATAGGCCCTATTGTGGTAAACTCTCTGTAGGAAGGAGGCGATGTAGAAGAGACCCATGGTCTAGCACCGGACTGTTAGGGGTTGGTGATCATGACGATGGTGATAGAATTTTATCAATATGAAGCTTTTCATCTAAGTGTTCTACTTCAAAAGTTCAAAACCGTCTTGAGCCGTCATTTCTTTCTTCTCCTCCTTTTAATATGATTTTTTTATTTATTACTAGCTACTTCCGCGCGGTTTCACACGCTCTGCTCAGCTGCTATTCGTCGTAGCGTGATGTTTTATAGCCTATAGCCATCATCGATAAATGCACTATCCAACACAAAAATAATTATTCAAATCAGACTTGTAGTTACGGAGATTAGCGCGTTCAAACAAACAAACAAAAAAAACAAACTCTTCCGCTTTACATAATAAGTATAAGAGTATATATAAGATAAGATTTACAATAAAAAATATATTTTTTTTTACAATAAACTGCTGTGTTAGTAGAATGTCTCTGTCCGACTGCCGAGTCTGCGATTCGATTAGTAAGTTGGACAAAAAAATTATTACTGAGCTTTTTAAAATTTTAAAACCGAAACTGTATTTGCGTATTCTATTTAGTTTGAATTTGCGTCTATTGTTTCTAATAGCCTCATCTAGTCTAGATACTGAGCTGCTACTGAAAATTCGCAAAAGCCTGATATTTCCATTAATACCTTCGAACTGCAGGAAGAACCTCATTCCACCGCCAGACCTTTTTAAGTACAACAATTTCCAAATCGATCCAATTTCACTGCATCATCGCAGACATTGCACAGAGCTTCACGCGCCGGCGCCTGCACAGGCACAAATTACAAGTAAGGGGCGACGCGCACCATGTTCCTGTCTCATAGTATGTCCAAGTTATGCTATTCAAACATATTTATGGTGGATTAAAACCTTCTTTGGATGACCATTAACGAAGGCGACGTGATTCATTGACAGCTAGCCACTAGGTACATTAGTTTCGAGTAGATATTCAGGCGTCTGTCGGTACCTATGTGTTTTTGGGAAATAAATCTTAAAGGGTATAGTGTTAATGTCTAGTTTCCTTGTTTCAGATTCTGGTTAATATTAATGTTGTAGTTTCTAATGAGTGGTGGAATGTAGGTTACTGGATAGATAGAAAGTAAAGTACCCATCAGAAACATTTGACTGTGACTTATTTGATTAAACAGATTTTAATATAATGAATTATGAATGAAGGACTTACTGAGTTTTTCAGACAAATGTTCGTGGTGCTTAACAGCTGGGCTTCTCCCAGTTAAATACAGGGCAATCCATGCGTTTTATTGCACTGGTACAGGCGCCAAAGTGCTTAAAACCTTAATCTTCTGAATGCCGCCGCGGAGAACCTAATGGGTTACCGGGGTTCCGGGCTGACGTGCAGGAAAAGGAACGGCGTGGTTTTTAGTCAGTAAGAGTCCGACACTCCCTCCCGCCTCACCCAAGCGGGAGCAGTATGCGATGATTTTCCCCCCTTAAAAAAAATATTCTGAATGCCAGTTCCAATACAATAAACTACTCGATACAAAGTCATCATAATAGTTATTTACTGAAACATTGTCAGTAGACATTACTTATCCAATTCTCAGTAGTAAGTAGCCAATTGAATGCTGTCGGAATGGTAAATTGCGTAAAATGGCAGACTTCGTCTAAGGCTGGGGGCTATTTCTAATGTGGCCGTGCATGGGCTCAATTATAGGCACGCTAAATGTTCTAGCTTAGATCTAGGTAGAGCTAGGTGCTGGCTTAGAAACACTTTTTTATGCTCGGCTAAAGTGCACATAAATGAGGCCGAGTGACGAGCTATATCCGCAAAGTGGTTGGATGAGAAGGGCTAAATATCAGTCAGACAAACTTCAGTTTACGCCTAGTGCCGTGTTCTTGGAAGTATCTATGTCCAGTGTCCATCGGTGGATGGCAACAAGCTGAAGATACTGATAATTTCAAAGCATAAGTCTCATTTCGTCTACGTCTAAATTGTATTCTAAATTTTAAGCCATATTCAAAAACTATGTGGCATATATATATCATTAATTCTTAATTGCGTAACATCCAGTTTCTATAACCTTTCTATCTGTAGATTTGCTTATTATAAGTCAGAATTTTAATTAGATTCCAGATTTGACAATAGCTACTGTCATTTTGTGAAATAATGATACCACATATAATAGTGTAGTGATGAACACAAAAATCTATAAACAATCAGTGTGTGTGTTTTATAATAAATGTTACAGAAAGTGACAGGATAGCGATAGCGATGACGGCGACAATTTATAAAATAACTTATTACCATAATACATCTATCTGTTTTATTTGTCTTGTTCCTTCATGATTACATTTTTTTATTTATTTCACACACAATTATAAAAGAAAAGTCTCAAATCGTTAATTAACTCGTCGAGTACCGTCATTATAGACACAATTATAGAACAATAGGTCGCGGTCACCGGTGACCGCTTGGTGTTTGACAGTTTAATCGTCAAAACGCTATCGGTTCAGAAATATTTAATTTCCTGGTGTACTTAGTTTACGGGAGTAAAATTATAAACGAGAAGAACCGATCCAGAAATATTGCATTTCCATATCGAATAATTTCGAAACGTCACTATTTAGTACTTGTCATAACGTTGCA